TATATATATATGTATATATATATATATATATATATATTTGATAAAAAAAATGAATGATAAGAAAAAAGACAAGCATATTATATGTGCGAATGAAAAATTGAGATTAACATGTGCGAGAAATATTTTAATCGATAAGGTAAGTAAACAGTGGAAGAGATTAGATAATAATGTAAGGATAAGATGAATGTTAGAAAAATTTATGAATCTTAAAAAAGAAAAATTGTATCACGCATTAAGTTCTATAAATGTTAGTGATCCTTGTACCTTTCCTTCACATTACTTATTCATTCAGTTTGTTTTACTACTCATGTAAGAAAAAGAGAGAAAGGGGTGTAAAAGTAGTATACCAATATATTACGATAAGAAATGAAGTGAATTTTATACCAAATATTAAGTTAGGGGAGGAGACATCTATTATGTTTTAAATAATAATAATAATAATAATAATAATATAAATATAAATATAACTATAATTATTTGATGAGGTATTCCTAATGTCATCTTATTTATTTATTTATTTTAAATTACCTAGTTAATATTGATATATTAGTTAATTATTTTTATTTTTTTAACATTGTATATGCATTATTTGTATATTACTTAATTCATTTTAAAATGTTAATTCTTATTTTTAAATATTTTATTGAAAATTTTACTTCCAATTATATAAAATGATGCCATGTTTAATTATATATTTTTTAATATCATAATATTATTAGTTATTTGTATATTTTATTATGGTTTTAATCATAGTTATAATTATTTTATGTAACTTATTCTGAATCAGAAAAGTGGGTATATATATATAGTTTAATAATAATAATGATGATTAATATAGTAATAAATATTATTTTTAAATTTATTATGATTAATAAGTTATTATAATAATACTTATTAACTAATATGATCATGTGTGAGTATGAGTAGTAAAAATTTGAATTCATTCATAGTTAGAGATTTAACTTTGAGGATTTAAATAAGTATATATTTGATTGGTGAGATATTCTTGTATTATCAAAATCATGGTAAAACACATTTAATTGATTAGTCATTACAAATCTATAATTAAAATCTCTCCATGAAGTAGAATTAAAATTTGTAATTAATATATATATAAGAATTTATTTATTTGACTTATATGATATATGTTCACACTCCTTTTGTATTTTTTTTTTTAAAAATATAATTATAAATTTATTAAATAGATGGATTCACCCGATATTGACCTTTTCACCATATTTGTACATATCATTTTTTTCTTGATTGCGGTGAATAATGGATATACAAAATAATATCGTTACCTTTAAAGGATAAAGTTCTTTAGTAATACATATATTTCATTTTTTTTCCTAGGTAGTTGGTAAGAATGCTAGGAGTTATTACTTGTAATCATATGTATGTGTAATAAATAGACTTATCTTTTCTTTATCTTCAATTATTTTGATATTATAGGCTATTTAATTTAAATAATTTCTTATAATTTTTAAAAAATAAGTAATTAAATAACTATAATTCATATTTAGAAAAAAAAAGGGTGTTAAAAACTTGGAAGACTCTTCGTATTAGTCTCTGAATTTAAACAAGGGTTATGCTTGTTTGGACACTTAATTTTCGCTATACATCCAAACAATACATATTTTCTTTTTCATTTTAAGGAGGTATTGTGAATCAATGAAAAAGCACCAAATTATTACGAACTAACATTAACTAAGGAGAAAAAAACTAGAAATTGAAAGAACAACTGTTGAATAACTTCATAATTCTCATTGAACATTGATTCCAAAGAGACGTTACAAGGTGAATTTTAAAGTAAATTCACAACAGTCAAATGATCACAGCCTTAGAAAGGAACAGATTATGACCTTTTAGGTATAACTATAAGGCCCGAAGGCAACAATGAACAAAGCTAACAGCTGCCGAATTGAACAAGCCCAACTGCGTCTATCCATTTTTATATAAATACACTTTTTTTTATATAAAAAATATATTAAATTCTTAATATGTTTTGGAACTTATAATTTTCAGATTTGTACTTTTCTTGTTCTTTCTTTTCCTCACACCTTCCTTCTTCTTTTTTTTTTTTCGGGCACCTCCCTTCTTCGTCACTTTCTTCTCCGACCTCTCTACGTCCTCTTCTACCCTTTTTAATTTTTGCATATCTTCTTCTTTTTTTTTGTTCCGGAAAGTACTTTCTAGAATAGTAAATTTTTTGTTCCGAAAAGTACTTTCCGGAATAATAAAATTTTTGTTCCAGAAAATAATTTTCATAATAGAAAATTCTTATTCTGGAAAGTATTTTCCGGAAATGTTTTGTTACATAATTTTGGAAAGTACTTTCCAGAATAATAAAGTTACTGTTCTGTAAAGTTCTTTCCAGAATTATATAAGAAATACACTTCCAACTCTCCGGAACAATAATTTTACTATTCCGGAAAGTACTTTCCGGAATGCTTAAATTAACATTTCGAATCTTATTTTCTGGAAGTATGACAAATTTAACTTACGTGTTTCTTTATCTCTGTTATCCACCACTGTCGTCTCCGATCGAGGTAGGTTAATTATATGTTCCTGTTGTCCATAAGTAATATTAAATAAGTTAAAAAAATTATAAATATAGAATGTAATTCAATATATTAATTTGTACCTTGTATTGAATGTAGAGAATAATGAAGATTGAATGAAAAATTAGGGTTTAAGAAAGAATAGAATTTTAAATATAAAAATATAAGATATGATTATATTGATTGTAAATGAAGAAAAATCAAAAATAAAAAACGAAAAAGAATAAAATCTTCAAAGAATAACTAGAGTTATGAAAAATGAGAATGAAAAAAAGAAGAAGAAAGAAGAAGAAAAATGATGAAAGAAGGGGTGAATAAAAAACAAGTTTAAAAATAAAACTTAAAATAAGAATTTAGTTAGAAGAATATTTTAAAAATTTTATTTAAAAAAAATTGAAAGTGTATTTATAAATGATAGGAGGTGTATATATCATCCGCCTCAATTTTTTTGTGTGTGTTAGAAACCCAATTGATAGCCCAGTGCGGAGGCCCAAACGTGATACCAAGCTCCCATGTGGGCTTTGAACTTGACATTTGGCTACCGCTCACGTCACGGAACTTGTTAGTCTGATTAAACGAGTTCTACTTTGTTTGGCCATGTCGCATAACTTAATTTGCTAGTTTGGTCGGTATATAAGTTGACCAAGTCAGAACAGTCTCATATCAATAATATGTTTTTTAAAATATATTTCATTATTATGGTGTAAAAAAATATATTTTTATTATTTTTTTGTATGAAAGTGTTTAATTTCGTGAATCACTCTAAATTTTTGTGTTTGTAAATCGTACACGGCAGGCAAAAATTGATTCCAAAAGTCATATTCGTGAAAATAGTTTTTGAAATCTTGCAAGCTAGCATTCAAAACTCAAAAGTAAAACAATAGTAATCCATTTTTATATATTAAATATTAATTTCTATCTTATACGAGTATTTTTAGAGATTTTTTTAGATGAGAAAGTTTGTAGAGATTTTTAAAACTTTTTATCTAATTCAATTTATTATTTATCATAATTATTTATAAATTAAATATTAATATTTTAAAATAAATTATCAATAAATAAAAATGATTTTTTTTAATTTCTTATCTAATTCAATTTTTATTTATCATAATTATTTATAAATTAAATATTAATATTTTAAAATAAATTATATATAAATAAAAACAATTTTTTTACAATATAAATTATTTATCATAAATTTAAAATATAATTATGTATTTAAAATTATTTATATATGCTAATTTTAAATATAGTCTATATAATATAATTTTTATTATTATAAAATTTAATTATATAAGAAATATGTCTGTATATTTATGCAGGCTAAAATATTAGTGAAATGTAAACTCAAAATCATATAATACTCTCTCAAGACTTCACCAAAAAAGAAAAACTCTCTTTGGACTTATACTAAATCTCATCTTAAATTTTGTTACAATGGCAAAAATAAATTATAAATATATAAAAAGAAATAATAATTTTATTAATCTTCTTATTAGAAATTATATATGCAAAACAACCAACATTCTAAAAGATATTATATATTAAGGTATAAATAGAAAACAATTAATATTATATAAAAAATTAAAATATCATTTATATATAATGTTTTTTAATACGACAATTATTATATATCATCCATAACAATTTATGGGCTACAAGTATGCATAAATATTCTAAGATTCCTTTCTTGTGTAGGATTAAAAAATTAAAATGCTTTCCTAATTCTGCATGGTGCCAGCACATATGTTGCTTGATTACAGACAATTCCTGCAGTCATTTTCTCTGTGAGCTGAATTGAAAGTCCGAATGAAGAGAAAACACTGCAAAGGCAGTGACAACTGATAAACCAACAATTAATACTATTGCACACATGGACGAAACATATCAAAGCCTCAATTCTGCAATGAACCAATGGTGAGAGAGCAATGCCCCATTGTCGAAGCAATTGGAGGAAATTTATGTCACCACTCACGATGGTAACCAAACAGTGGATTTTTCCATTCCAAGTGTCGTGTCACCATATTTGGACAACGACCCTTTGTTGTTATGTCGTGCAGGCAATTGCAAAACCATGAAATTTTATGCGTTTTCGTTTCTCTGCGGCTTCAACGTTATTTGTGTGTGAGACAAAATTTCCCTCAGCAAGGTTTATTATTTGTGTGGCTATTCTTCTGTCCACAGTAGTCCATTTTCTATTATGGCACCGAGAAGAAACAAAAAGCGATCGAGTTTTCTAGAGGGAAAGTGATTAAGTGACAGAGCAGCAACATGTGTACATTGATATTTGTGGTGGAAGATGTGTTGTGTGTGCGCGTCAATTTAGTAGTAGTTAATGTAGCCTGTGTCGGGTGATCTAATGTTCACATCAGAATGAGAATGGAATCTAAGTTGCAACTTAGAACAATGTCTATTTCCCTTTCAGAACTAAAGAAAAGCACAAAAATTGGAAGTCTAGCAGGAAGTCTTTCCTGCATAATGAATATTTTCTAGTGTTATTCTTGATTACAACAGCCACGTAAAGAAGATTTGAGGCTTTACAGGTTAATTTATATTTGAGTCATACTTTAATATAATTTATGTTTAAATATGTTTTTATCTATAAAATATTTAAAATTTGAATTTATCTTTAATTTTGTTTTCAATTTCTAAAATTTGGAATTAATATCTAAATTTCTTGATTCAGTGATTATAAGATTTGGCTTAAAATATTAATATTTTAAATTCAATTTTTGTATATGTTAAAATAATATTTAATTAATAAAAGACACATTTTATGAATGTAGATTAGTCCTTAATTGTTAAAAATATCATCTATGAACAAAAACTTGAAGTTACTATTTTTTTGTCTCTAGCATTATATGATTATTTTTAATCACTTATATATTTATCAAAAAGTTAAATAGTTATTCTGAATGATATTGACAATTGTTTGTATTACCATGTGAACACTTGACAAATTTTTTTTATAGATTTTTTAAACAAATGTCATTTATCAATCTTAAATAGATTATTTGGAACCAAAAACAATCACTTTAGATTTTTGAGAAATGAAAATCAAAGAAAGACATTTTATAGGATTAAAATCAAAATTTACTTAATTTATAAGGATAAAAAATAATGTTTACAAATTTTAAAAGAATGAAAAATAAATTTTTTTTTTACAAAACTAAAATCGAAACATACTCATTTTACATAAATTAAAAACACATTTAAAGTTATAATTTATTGATTCTTATTTTATTCTTATACCAATTTTAATTTTAGTTTATTAATTAAAGTTTAATAATCAAGTAGCACTATTAACATTTCACTCCATGAAATTCATCTAAGCACTATCTTACAACATAGTTGATCTCAAATCGAGTCTAAAAAACATTAATAACATATGTTAAAGAAGATCCAAAAGCACTAATAAAATTAATAACATAAAACAATTATCAATTAACATCTATGATATAAAGCTCAGAAAACAAATCCATCAATTGAGCCCTAAAAGAGTTAGGAATGTGCTACACATCTTTACTGTATATGAACTTTTAAAACTTCACACCCCCTGCCCCCGAAAAAAAAGGCTAAAGAAAGAACAAAAACATTCAAGTCAATTCAGTTACTTGAATTTCAAGGGCAGAGAAGAAATGACATATTTCTGGTTTGTAAGATTGCTAATTTTCAACAAAATGTTGGGGCAAACTGTACCTCCATAATCATCCAAACCAATATGCAACAAAAATATTATCTTAACAGCCTGGCGAATCAAGAAAACCCTCTCCAAAGCCCCATCTACAACAATCCCCTCGCTCAACAACCTCTTGCTAGACCTCTCTTCCAAGTTCCTAACAGGTCCAATCTCCTCGCTGTTCTCCAACTGCTTCCAGGGGGAGATTCCCAGATTCAATGGTTACGCCGTCTCTCCTTGTAGAAGGCATCAACGGTGTCGTGTCACGAGAGGCGACGACTTGCGCGACAATGGCGGTGGCGTTCGCGACAAAACCCTACTCCTATTGTATTCTGTTTATGCACATACAAAGCACGAGAGAACCCAAAAGTGAAGACTGAAGCACATACCTCTTGGCGAAGACGAATGGAGATTGTTGGCGAGGGAACCCGAACGGAGGAAAACGCTAATGGTGAGCCTGAACAAAGCACGACAAAGCTGAGACCCAAAAGTGAAGACTTAAGCATGAGAGAGTGGATAACAAATGAAGAACGTAGATATTTAAGATCGTTAATAAAAGAACCGATTTTGTATATTATATACAAAATCAGTTCTTATAAGACTGATCTTAAAAATAGAAACATGACTATATCGGTTATTTAAGAATTGATTTTGTATACCATATACAAAATTACTTCTAAAACAACCGATTTTAAAAGTAGTAACATAGATACCTTTTAAAATCGGTTAAATGATAACCGATTTTAAAATATCATTTAAAATCGATTAAAATTTAACCGATTTTAAAAGTGGTGATTTTAATTACAAAAATGTTACCGTCTTCTTTTTAAAATCCGTTCTCCCTTAATCAATTTTAAAACCCCGATCTTAAAAGTTATTTTTGCACTAGTGTTGAATCTATAATATATACATGCATCGAAATATCATTTGTATTTTCATTTTGACTAGAAATTAAGTGTTCCAACGTTCTTTTTCTTTATACACATATATAAAGAAATAGGTTTATTGAATCTATAAAATTAATTACTAGTTTGACACAAAAAATAAGTACTACAAAATGAATAATGTTAAAACATAAAAGAAAATGGCAGAAAATGTAAATGAAAGCGAAGGTGAGGGGCAAAATGAATATCCGTAGCGGATAACGACGAATGTTGGTTGGACAGTTACGTGGATTGGGGGTCATATAATTATAAAGTAGAGAAATAGAGTGTTAGAGAGTGTGGTGTGGTTTAAGAATTCACATTGCAAATTTTGTGTGTGACTCATTCTCTACTACTACTAGTGCCGTACCCTTAATGAGGTTCTTCGTTTCGTGCTTCGGCGTGGCCGATCCCACCGCCACCTCCAAGCCCCTCGTTCCTCCGCCGTCGCGGACTCTCCGCCGCAGCAAGTCCCACTGGAGGCCCGCCCTGGGCTCCATTTCCGAGGACACCGCGCCGCCGCACAGAGACAGGGCCGCCCCGGCCTCCGCCGGAGATGCCAAGAGGAGTAGCAACACAGCCGCCGCCGCCGCCGCGGATACCGCCAAGGCTCGCCGCCTGTACAGCGACGATTGCGATTACGGGTAAGGAAATTTTTTTTGATTAACCAAGTTAACATGTTTATGGCTTTATGCCCTATTATCAGTGTTACTTGCTTGCTCCTTGAAATTCTTTTCAATGCATTGAATGTGAATCATTATGTGAGTTGTTATTCTTATTCATTTCAAGTATATTTATTTAATATTAACTTTTTTAATTTTTTCTTATCCAAATGATGTATTTGTCTTTATGAATCTCAAAAATGTTGAAGTTCTTTTGTTAGTTATTATTTTTCATTAAATATACTTTAACGTGTTAGATTTTAAAAATTAAATATACAAAAATACAAATAGTAATATATAGTATTACTTGTTATAAATGTAATATTTTAAATATATAAATAAATATTTTTTTTATCTGATCAAGTATTTGTTAATTGAATTTATCAAATATTATATATAATTAACTTTTATAATATTAATATTATGTTTATAAGATTATTAAATGTAATATATTTATTAAATGTATTACTTTTTATATCAATATGTATAAAACTAAGATATATTAATTTTGATTTTAATAAAATTAGACTTAGTCTATTAAAATAAAGTTTTACAAATGTTAAACATTAAAATAAAGTTTTACAAATGTTAAACATTAAAAAAAATTTGATTAGGAAGAGAGATCCATTAAAGACATAAATAGTGATAAGATAATTATAAAAAGAATATATTATCAAAATAAAATTCACACAAAAACACAGGAGTTAATATGATATTTGATGTTATTAATATGATGTTTTAAATATATGAATAAACAGAATTTTCAAAATATTATATTTATTAAATTTAATGTATTTTATATTAATTGATTTTTATGTTTGTCATTATTGAGAAGGGTAAATTTTTTTAGTATTTTAAGAAGAAAACACAATTTAAATAAAGACTTAAAAAGAAAAAATAAAAAGCAAAAGTATTTTTTTTAAAAAAGTTGTTAATGGTTCCATTGACTTACATATAATATTAATAAATAAATATTATTAAAATAAAGGTTTTTTTAACATAACTTTTATAATATATATATATATATTCAATAATGTTTTATTGAATGCATATTCAATTGTTGTATTTATCATATTATTAATTAAATCAAATACATAAAATTGTATTATATTGTAATATTATTTAGTAGTTCATCATATTTCTTTTAACATATAAATTGACGATATTTAAAATATATATATATATATATATATATTATTAGATAATACTTTTAGATGAAATTAAAATATATTAAATGCACCATATATTAAAGAGAAAAATAAAAACAAGATAGCTTATTTTTCGGGTTGATGTTGCTTGAATTAATTTGATTTCATCAAAATGGAAATAAAACATGAAGTAGAAAAAAAATGGAATTGTATTTTCATAAAATCGAGACTAGAATGATTTGCCGCTACAATCTTAAATTAATGATGCTTTATAAGGCTTATTGTTGAGATCGAATTTCTATATCAATGCTTCGGGTTAGATGGAACATTATTGCATTTGCACATTCGACTCTTATCAAGAATAATTGAAGCGTAATCATTAATTAATGAATGCCCATTCCATTCATCTATAGTACTATACGATTGTTATACTTTTTTGCATTATGCTTTACTAGTTTAAAGTGTACTGTCCTTTAGTCTATGTCATTGCCAACTTATTAATCTTATCAAGTCATATTTTATTTTTCGAAAAAATATACATAAAGTTTAGAGTGAACATCATTCATCGTTATACTAACTTTTCCCCCCTCAAGTTGCATGGACTAAAGTTGAATAATTATAAAAGATAAGTTAATTAATAAGAATAAAAGTTAATTGGGACAGAAATGGGAATGATTACCTTAAACTATCGATGGCAACATTAAAAAGAGAGAGAAATTGAAAATTTAATGAATCGGTTCGGACTCTAATTTAGTTAAGTCATAAAATTGGGTGGGTAAGATTTTATTTGTTTTGGCTGTTAATTAATTAAATGATCATTTTTTAAATTTAATCTTAAAATGTTCTTAGCATTAAATTGATTTTTTTAAAAAAATAATATTTCAAAGTATGAGTTATTTTATTTTATCGACAAAGTAATAGATATTGTATATATGTAAAAAATATATAAGTAATATCCAAATGTTTTACAAGAATTACTCCATATAAGTAATTTTCTATAACATAAATCTATCAATGGCTACAACATATTTAGTAAATACTCCATGTAAATATTGAGTAACCACTAAGTCCCACCACTTGTTATGTTAATAATCTATAGCACATATACTTTACCTTATATAGTTTTAAGCATTTCAAGAAAATATACAGGTTAATGCATTAATATAGAGTAACCATATCATGCCAACTCTATCCCACCTAGTCACAACATGTGAGACCAATACTTATACCTCTATTGACTATACAATTAAAAGGGTGAGAAATTAATTAACTGGACAAATGTATAATCAAAAGTTAGTTAATTTATAAGCATTCATCCATGAACAACCATGAAAAAGAATAACGTATAACACACATTTATTGTCAAATGATTTTTCCTGAAAAATAATCCTATTTCTAGTGTTCCAAATAACCCAAACAGTAGCTCACCACGTATAGATCCACCTCAAGATTTCCTTTTAATTGCCCATAGTAAACACAGGTTGCAAAAAACGTTCCTTTGGAGTGACATGCAGGTCATAGAATATATTCATCCCAACTAGCAAATAGACCCATACTTCTTGAGATAATTTATATTCAAATAATAAATGACACAATGATTCATCCACTTCTTTGCATTAAGGGCATAGGAAGTCACATTTTGTACCTCTATATTCCTTTTTCTCAAGTTGTCTGCAGTAGATAACCTGTTTGACATCACCCTCCAAAGGAAGAAGCTCACTTTCGATGGAATATTAAGGCTCCAAATCTGAGAAAAAATGACCTGATGACATCCTACCAATTCCACGAAACATGTTTTATGTGTCAAACTTACTGTATATTTTCCACAATCGCCTTTCTTCTAGAGTTAACTATCTCGTACTTCCTTTTGCAGGGTGACACACCTTACTAATTCAAGGAAAAAATTAACATGAACTCTTTCCCACTTAAACAAATTCTTGCACCATTCAAAACACCACTTCCACGACTCAATCCTCCTCCCAAAACCCCATATTGCCAGTTTTTTCCCTCGTTGCAAGGAGTTTAGTAGCAACCTTGAAAAAGTCTTTGCCAAAGGTTGATCCCCAACCCAAGTATCTTACCAAAAAATAATGTTTCCACCCTCCCAAATTTCATACCAAAGAACGACTAAACCACTTTATTTCATAATAACTCTTACAAACCTTATGCAAGTCCTTCCACTAAAAAGAAGTAGAAGAAATACTATTCGAATTAATGAGATCCTGTTATCCACCATATTTGGAGGATAAAACCTCGCTCCATAATGACCTTCTTATAATGGAAAAGATCTCACTTCCATTTTGCTAGAAGAGCATCATTAAAGGCAAAAGTGTTTTTAATCCCCAAGCCCCACAACTTTTAGCTAGGTTCACACAATTTATCCCAATTGATCCAAAGAAACCTTCCTTTTACCCTCCTCATCACACCCCCACAAGAAAAGTTCTTTGTATGCTAATAATTTTCCTGCCCACAAGTTTTGGAAGCTTAAAGAAGAAAACGGAAAAAAAAAAAAAAAAGAGAGCAAGAAGGACAAGACAGAGTTAATGAAACACGCCCTACTTGCAAAAGGACAACATTCTAAAAACCTTTTATCATTCAAAGTATGAGTTTAATAAACATTGTAAATTTTTTTTTTTCAATAAATAGTATTTTTTTTAAAAATTATTTCAAAAGTCAACTAACTCATTATATACACTAGTTAGTGATAAAAATAACAATATAAAAAAGAGAGTTTTATATTGAGAGAGAGTGAGAGTTTATAATCCATCTGTTTCTATGCAAAAAACTTTTATATTGTTAATTTTGTGTTTTAAATTTTAAAGTTTTGATACATTATATCAAATTAATCGTTAATTCACATTTATTTATATCATACTTTTATTTTGTTCGGTCCTGCTTAGTGGTTTTTTTTACGTGTACAATTTCACTTGTTTTGTAGTCATCTTTATGAATTATTTCTCCTTCAATAAACGGTGACAATAGAAAATATGTAATGATGTGGCATTGATTTTTTTTTTAATTTTATTTTCTTGGCTACAGTTATAATTCGTGCTGAATGTGTTTTATTTATTTATTTATTATTTATGTCGTTTTCTTGAAGTTGCAGGCGAGTTGCCATGCCAGCGATGATGCCAGCATTCTCTCCCACGCCATTTATGTTCTGAACCTTACAATTGCATTCATTAAAAAACATGTGTACATATTGATATATATATATATATATATATATATAGGTATATGGTTAGGAAAAAATAATAAACTTGTATAGGTTTAATATGAGTGGATGTTGTGAATGAAATTAGCCTTCAGTTGTCACTCGTAAATATTGGCCTTTTCATGTTCATTCTCTTCTACTTATGATAATATGATATGTAATTAGAATTTAGAAGTGCCATGGCCCAATTTTTTCAGGTCTCTGTTCTTGTTTCCATATTGAAACAATTTTGGTATTCATTGTCCATAAAACGCAGGCTTACCCAAAAAGAAAAGCATCAATAGTTATTTTGTTCATTTTTAATATTATAAACACTTTGTTCATAAGGAGCTAAAAAATAAATAAAAGTAGAAAGAAAGAGGTGAAAGGAAACTAGAGAAGAAATTAAGAAATAGATAAAAAAACAAAATGAAACTTTAAATTGTTTGATTTAAGAGAAAACTAAGGGAGAGAAAATCTTTTTTAGAGACACTCGATATTTGGTAGGTTGTAATGTTGTATATATATAATTGTGGATGTTGACTTTAGATTTTCAAGTTAATAGTTTTTTTTTAACAATATACAATAAAAGATAACAAAATTAATAATACTACACAGATAAATATTTTAATTAAAATTTATAAACTAGAAATTAAAAAATTTCAACATACAAAATATCTTTCTTCTTTACGTAAAAAAACTACCTCATTCCACCTAGAGAAAGTGACGAATAGAAAAAAGATTAATAAGACAAGAAAATAGTTTATAATATTTTCATAAAAAACATTAAAATCTTTGTACGTGAATTCACCACTGCTTAAAAATACGTAAGAGCATGGCATATTTTTGTCGATTTAAAAAGATAAAATATTAAGAAACCTTCTTTTGTCTAAAAGTAATAATAAAATATGCTTAGATAATAATTTTTCTCCTATTAAGTAAATATAGCGAATAAAATAAAATCATCTTGTTCCTTTAAAGGGTGACACAATTTTAAGTTTCATTAATTTTGCACATTTACAAGTAACCGTTATACGACGAACGTTACAGAAAGTTAACACCTTTCCTACTCTGGAACCTTTTTCTTGGTTCGAAACCGTTTTCTTTGGTTTTTATGCATTTACCCATTAATAAACTATGGTGGTGACTCCTATGATTTTTTTATATTTTTTATTTTGTATACCTAGTTGAGAGTAAATTTACATAAACTTCACTTAATAATTTATATTTTACATTAAATTTTAATAATTTAACTGTTAAATTTAAAAGTTATATAAGTTAAGTCTATAAATTTTTATAAAATAAAAAACTATTTAATACTTCGTTATATAAATTTAAATCAACGTTTAAAATATTTTTTATAATTATTCATCAATTTAAATTAATAAAATAAAATATATCAAATAATTTTTAATTTTTTAAAATATTTATAGAATTTTTCTATACATTAAATTTTTTTTTAATTTAATGATTAAATCTTTAAAATTTAATGTAAAATATACTTACTCTTAGAATAAGTGATTATATAAAAATTGACGTAATTAATAAATTTTTAGAAAAATAATTGGGAAAGAAGTTATTTCTTTTATATATACTCATTTTATATTTGATATGTAATTTTTTATTTATTTATTTTTTAAAATGAAATAATTATTAATTAATGTAATTACTAAGATGTTCTTACTGTTTAATATTGTATTATTATTTTTATCTTATAATAATATCATTTTAGATGAAAATCTTTTGGATTATAAATTTTTTAATATTTTATTTTAAAATATTTACATAAAAATATTAATATTTTTTAATGTAAAATTATGTTTATTTGCATTTATTATATTAACATATTAAATAAGTTTTTTTATAATTACTCTTTATGATATTTTAGAGAGAAAAAATTGTTGTAGAAGTTGTTTATTATGCTAATGTTTTATTTTTCTCCACTAATATTCATTACTTTTTAAGTATATAATCATAATTATTTTTATGTAAATTTTATAATTACCTTTGTTAAAAAATTATAATAATTTAAAATTAATGTGATTAATATTTTATAATACTGTTACAGTTCCTTATATTAATGTTTTATTCTATTATATAATTATATAAACAATGGAATTTTAATTTTATTTTATAAATCTTGTATATAGTAATATGCTGGAGGGAAGTTTTAGAGGAAAAACAAAATTTATTCCTTTTTATATTATTAATGGATTAAGGTTAAAAAAAACTAATTTATTACATATAATTAAGATAAAAAATAATATTAGTTAAATTTGAATAGATATTGAGTAAATCAATGTAGATGTATTACTCAAACCAATTTGTCGCTTATAATTAATATACTTGTCAAAATACTACTAGAAATTATCAAAGTAACCAATATAGTTGGAATCAAACTCCATACATTAGAAAGAAAATATTAGGTGATCATAATCAATTAACTTATTTTCTAATAAGAAAAAATATTAGATGATCATAATCAACTAACTTATTTTCTAATAAGAACTATTAATCACTAAAATAATAAATTTTTCGCTAAAATAATATTTTAGTCCCTTATAATAATTGTTTGTTTCAATTTAGTCTCACTTTTAATTTTGGTTTCAATTTGGTCCCTAATAAATTAATTGGTTGCAATGTCGGACTTCCGTCCAAATTATTTAGACGGAGTTAACTGTTGGTCACGTGGAAGTTACGTAGATGCCACGTGGAAGTTACGTAGATGCCACGTGGATGTCAAATTTTTGTCATGCATCTGGAACCAGAACGGCCCATTCTAAAACTGGAATGACCCGTTCTAGTTTCACTCTTCGTGCGTTAATTTTGCATCCGGAACGGACCATTTCGGATGCAAAATTAACACACCAGGAGTGAAACCAGAACGAGCCGTTCCAGTTTCAAAACGGGCCGTTCTGGTTCCAGAATGTCACACGTACGGTTAATGATTATATCCATAAATTTTAGATCGTGATGACAATACTTATTCATATATTTGTAATATTAAAATTTTTATATATAATTTTTTTAATTATAAATATATATTATAGTTATTTTTTACAAGTTTTTATATCTACAATTATAATTAAAGATGAAAATAAACTAGATCAGATTAGGTTACATTATAATTTAACAGATTTAAACCTAATTTTTGTTAAAAATACATGTTATAAATATTATATATTTATCTGTCATAGATATTTTTTAAAATGTTTGGTTACATAACAATCTTAAAAACTTACTGAATAATAATTTAACACTAATAAAAACATATAAATAAATATGTTAAAACTTATAAAAATTAAGTTTAATTTATTTATCATATAAAGATGTTTTTAATGTTATATAAATTTTTACAAGGCTTAAATATGTTTTTAGTCTCTCAAATTTAGGGTAAATATATTTTTAATCCCTCAAAATTAAAATTGTTGTTTTTAGTCCTGTAATTTCAAAAAATCTTAATTTAGTCCTTATATTCAAATTTTGTTAAGAAATTTATCAAATATTATTGCATAAAATCTACCTATTGGTGTCCCTATTAGTGAAAATATCCCATTAAATCTGGTTGATATTACATAACTGTCTTAATTAGTCACTTTCAAATATGTTATTGGTGACCTAAGGGACTAAAACAAGATTTTTGAAAATTGCAGGGACTAAAAACAACAGTTTTAAATTTGAGGAACCAAAAATAAATTTATCTTAAGTTTGAGGGACTAAAAATATATTTAAGCCTTTTTACAATTTTAATTTTCTTTTTATCAACATAAACAATAAATAAGAAGTACAAAAGTTTGACAAATATCAGATAAATGAATAACTCCTCGAAATTGATAATTTAAATATATATATATATATTAGAATATGATTTTTATTTTTTAAAATATATTATTTTTTAGATAAAAAAAATTATGTATGTGCAAATGGTTTGCTTTCGATTTTTGAACCGCACTGGTACACTATGTTGGATGGCGTTCTGGAACGGCCCATTCTGAATCTAGAACGGCCCATTTTGGATGCCAGAATGACCCATTCTGGTCTCAGAACGGCCCGTTCTGTTGCACGCATTTTTGTTAAATAATGCATCTGGAACGGGTCGTTCCAGATGCAAAATTTACACACCATGAGTGCAACTGGAACGGGCCATTCCGGTTTCAGAACAGGCCGTTCTGGTTCCAGATGCATGACAAAATTTGATGTCCACGTGGCATGTACGTAGCTTTCACGTGGCATCTACGTAGCTTCCACGTGGCCAACAGTTAACTCCGTCTAAATAATTTGGACGGAAGTCTGACATTGCAACCAATTAATTTATTAGGGACC